ACATGGTCAAAGTGCAATAATTGTTTGCTTTTATCATTCTACTAACCTGCCTCAAATGGTTAGAATGGTAGCAGTTAGGCCAGTGGTTGCAATCAGGCTTTAAGATGAAGTGGCTTATGCTGGTTTAAAAATAAATGGTAGACGTTGGGGAGGGTATGTGCTATAGTGAGTGCTGTGAGTTGTGTAAGACTGTTGAATCACAGACCTGTACCTCTGAAACAAATAATACATCATATATTAAAAAAAAAAAAAAGAAGCAGGAAGGGAAAAATGAAGTGGGGGGAATTCGGAGGGGGAGATGAACCATGAGAGACTATGGACTCTGAGAAACTGAGAGTTCTAGAGGGGAGGGTGGTTGGGGGCATGGGTTAGCCTGGTGATGGGTATTAAAGAGGGCATGTACTGCACGGAGCACTGGGTGTTATACGCAAACAATGAATTATGGAACACTACATCAAAAACTAATGATGTAATGTATGGTGATTAACATAACATAATAAAATAAAATAATAAAAAAAATGTTGTATTAGGAATTCATTTGAAAGTAATATAAATCTACTTAGTATGCTTAAATAGACTGCCAGAGGGTTTAGAAAAGGAAAGATATGGGCGCCTGGGTGGCTCAGTCGGTTAAGCATCTGCCTTTGGCTCAGGTCGTGATCCCAGGGTCCTGGGATAGAGTCCCACATCGCGCTCCCTGCTATGCGGAGAGCCTGCTTCTCCCTCTGCCTACCTCTCTCTGCCTACCTCTCTCTCTGTCTTTCATGTATAAATAAAAAAATAAAATCTTTAAAAAAAATAATTCGTAGTTGTTTTATAAGCAATATTCTCATATGATACCATGAACTTATTTGAAATGGTATATTTTATGCTCCTAAATTTTTGTACTCTGCATTTCTTTTAAAGGGATTTTAAAACATTGCAAGAATTTCTTTATGCCATTTTGGCTCCGGAAATCTAAAATACAATTTATTACTAGATTTTAGATTTCATGATAAGACCAAGTTTCATTATAATGCTTTTTTAGGAGCTAAATTACTTAGACTTGCCTGTGTATGAACTCTGACCTTTGGACTGAAACTGAAAAAACTTAAGGATGCAGTTTAGTCTAGCCATGTTTTGTCACTGATTCAGATTTTGACTTATTTTTATGTAAATCCTTGATTCTTCTTTCCCCACCTGAATTTTGAGGAAGACTTTAAAAAGTATTTTAACCTTTCCAAATCAAAGGATTAATACATGTAAATTGTTTAAACTCCAAATTCTTGACTAAATTACTTAAATGTGACAATAATAAAAATAACAAAAGTGAGTATTGAATACTCATTATATGCCAGGCACTTTGACTCTGTCCTCACAACTCTAGAAGGGTCCTGCTTTCATTATCCTCAGCAGTTCTGGAAAATAACGTATAGAGAGACTGAATGAATAACTTGTCATAGGTCACACAGCTAGTAAGAGGCAAGGCCAAAATTAGAACCCAGGCAGTCTAGCTTTACATTTAATTAAGCACTCTACTCTTTATTACTTGTAATACATAGGGTACTCAGTGTTGAACTGGACCATATATGGGGCATTAACTTGGAAATTCCATAATAATTGAATATAATAATAGATGTTATATATTGTTACTGTAGAGAATTGTATATGTACATATGTATATATATTGTGTACACACATGTATGTATATAGATACATACATACATAAACAGTACTATGCAGTACCTATTATATATGTACTGTATACTCTTACTCCTTCATTATTCAGTGACAGATTAAGATAGTTCCATATTTAGATTTCAACTCAGCTTCTGATCTGGGTATGTGAAAAGCATAGAAAATTTAAATTTTATCCATTTTGCAGTATTAGTAGTTGTTTCTATATAAATTCTAGCATCAGTAACCATTCTATGTGTTGAACCATCACTCTGGGGCCAAGAGTATGGGAGCACCCAGAGCTTGAGAATAATATTTTATAAGATGTTGAAGGAATCAGTCCCATTGTTTTGGTAAAATCAATTTATTGAGTGTTTTCCTGGCAAGAAGCTAGTTAATTATTATATCCATCAAATATGGGGCCATAGTTAATACTATTTTGTGTGTGTGGTAAAAAATACATTAAAATCTGCAGTCTTAACAAGTTTAAGTGTACAGTTCAGTGGTGTTAATAATACATTGTTGTGAAACAGATCTCCAGGACATTTTCATCTTGCAAATCTAAAGCTCTATATCCATTAAACAAAAACTTTCTTACTACCCCTGCGTTCAGCCTTGGTAACTACCATTCTGCCTTCTGTTACTGTGAACTTAACTACTTTTAGATACTTCATATAAGTGGATGCATCAGTATTTGTCTTTTTGTGACTGGCTTATTTCACCTAGCATGTTGTCCTCAAGGTTTTATCCACATCATAATCCGTAGTAGGATTTTTTTCCTTTGTAAGGCTGAATAATATTCCTTTGAATGTATATACCACATTTTATTTATTATTACTATTTTTTAAGAAGTTTATTTATTTATTTATTTATTTTTAATTTATTTTTTTTAAAGATTTTATTTTTATTTATTTGAGAGAGAGAGAATGAGAGAGAGAGAACACCTGAGAGGGGATAGGGTCAGAGGATGAAGCAGACTCCCCGCCGAGCAGGAAGCCCGATGCGGGACTCGATGCCGGACTCGATCCAGGGACTCCAGGACTATGACCTGAGCCGAAGGCAGTCGCTTAACCAACTGAGCCACCCAGGCACCCGAAGTTTATTTATTTTTTAAGTACTTTCTACACCCAGTGTGAGCCTCAAATCCACGACCCCAAGGCGAGGAATTGCACATTCTTCCACATGAGCCAGCCAGGTGCCCCTATTATTATAATTCTTAAGGTTTTTTTGGTGTTTTTGTTTTTGCCAGTTCAGTACTTTTAAGGACTTACACAAAGTTATTGGTAGGAGAAATAACATAATTCAAGTGAATTGAAGTTTGCTTCATAGACATTCTTATATAGAGTTTTTTGCTCGGAAATAAAGATTAACATGAAGCTTGGCTAATAAGTGGTTTTAGGCATTCATTTTGTGGTTTCTGGCTTTTGGCATATACATTTCTTATTGATTATTGGAAATTATCTACATTATTGTTAAGAGTAGTTTTAATATTTACTGTTTGTTCTTATAAGATATCTGTTGGGTATATGCCCTTTTGGGCTCAGGATCTCACTGAAATTTCATTATGTGTACTTATTACTTGCATTTGTCTAGTAATTATGACCAGTTTTGGTTTCAGTCTTCTGAAACCAAATATAGGATTGATATTTAAAAGTTCTGGAGTTAAAAAAATTTTAACTTCTACAAAGATAATATTCATTTTCATAGTACTTTAAAAATATAAATGAAACACATATTGGTTAGAATATAAAATGATGTTCCAACTGCTACAAATAGGAAACTAAAGATACTATACAGATTAGGTAGGAAAAACAAATCAGCTAAAGCATTTGTTTTTCAAAGGATAAAGAACCCCTAATTTTAATTTGTCCTCAAAAGATTATCACTGCTTATTGGAAATATAATGAAAATAGACTGTATAATTAAGAATGATATAATTTTGATAGTTGCTTTGCTTTCTGGAGAATTTTTTTTAAGATTTTATTTATTTGGGAGAGAGAATGAGAGAGAGAGAGAGCATGAGCGAGGGGAGGGGCAGAGGCAGAGGGAGAGGGAGCAGCAGACTCCCCGCTGAGCAGGGAGCCCAATGTGGGGCTTGATCCCAGGACCCCAGGATCACGACCTGAGCCGAAGGCAGATGCTTAACCAACTGAGCCACTCAGGTGCCCCGCAAGAGGAGAATTTTTTTTAAAAAGACTTAATATTCAGCCATTTACACTTACAATACCAGAAAAGCCAGTCACAAACCACAATACCACTTCCCCTTCTTATTTTATTTATAGATTTCAGACGGTATTTGTTTATGCTCTACACATACAAAAAACGTGAGGCAACAGCATTCCCATGTAGTTCTCTTTAGAATTTTAACTTAATAGATATAAAAATATGAGTCTTATGTGGTTAACTCTTATCAATAAATATTTTCAACTGAAATTCTCAATGTAAAATTAAGTAAAAAAATTTTTTTTAATTTATTTGAGAGAGAGAGCGAGAGAGCGTGAGCAGGTAGAGGGCAGAGGGAGAGAGGGAGAAGCAAACTCCCCGCTGAGTGGGGTGCCTGACATGACACTTGATCCCAGGACCTGACCGGAAGGCAGGCGCTTAGCCAACTGAGCCACCCAGGCGCCCATAAAATTAAGTAAAATTTAACTGCATTGAATTTTGCAATCTGTTAGCCAAACCTAAAAAAAAAAAAAAAAACTGAATGGAAAAGAAAGACAGTAAAATGAAACCAACTCTACATTTTTCATTTTGTGTTGTCTTTAGTGTAATTAAGCACAACTTTAAAAAAATAAAATGAAATATTTTACATCTTTATTCAAGTGTTCACTTTCTACATTTTTCATTTTGTGTTGTCTTTAATGAAATTAAGCACAACTTTAAAAAAATGAAATATTTTGCATCTTTATTCAAGTGTTCGCTTTCATTATTTTCCTATTTTCAACCATAAAATATTTGAAATATTCTGTACACACTTTTTTTCTCACAGAAGAACAGAAACAGGCTCTTTTAAGAATCTTGTCTTAATACACAGAAATCAAGGTAGTTTTCCAACTTCTTGCTTAGAGCATTAGTGGATTTTAATTGTAGTCCTTAAAATTAAAATAGGCAAGGTAGAGATTTTACTTCTCAGGAGCAGAATTGATAGCAAAATCTGCTATATTGTGAATTCACATTTTTTTTTTCACCCTTTATTAACCCGCTTGAATGCAGGCCCAGTAGCTCTGTGACATTTGCAGCTCTACTGTGACATCATAAACCCCATCATAAGGGAACCTAGCTACAGACTGGAGGGAGTCTGCTAGGTGCTCATCAAGTGCTGTGTTACAACATTGTGACGTTTTCCCAGTTACAAGTGTCATTATAAGGATTTTTTTTTAATTGCAAAGCCAAGTAAGGCTGTCAGTTGCATCATCTTAACTTCAGATTAACTACTGCTGTAGTGGGCTTGTCGGTGGATGTGGTGGCATCAGCATAATCTATGTTTCAGGCGTCCTGTAGAAGAGGATTATTCAGGGGATCTGGAAGAAAAGGTAAATTATGTCTACTATGAGTTCATTCTACACCCTTTTAGAGCCTCATAAAAAGAGGTATAAAAATTAAAAAATATAAAATATACCCACTTTATTTTTTTGAGCAGCTGCCTACATGATTGTTAGAGAGTGATGAATATACTCATAGATCTTCCTCTGGCCTTCTCCTTCTCTTCATTTAGGCTTTTTATGCAAACGTTCCCTTCTCTGAGAAGCTTTCCACAACAGGTATATTTTGATGAGCCTCCTTCCACACTACCCCTGCCTTGTAACTCTGATTCCTTACCTTGCTTCATTTTTCTTTTGAGAATTTAACACCAACAAAAATGATGTATTTGTCTTTATCTGTTTTCTGTCTCCTTGAGGAGAGCAGAAACTTTTCTTGTTCATTGCTATGTCCCTACTGTCTAGACTGGCCCACACAGCAGGCTCCTGATAAGTATTTGTTGAGAGAATGAAAGAATGAGTTAATTCATAAGTATGACCAGTTTTTGTGATTTTTTTGCATATTAAGTCTTGAATGAATATTTGATGTTTATAAGAAATGTTTATTTTTTTTAAGATTTTATTTATTTATTTATTTGAGAGAGAGACTGAGATAGCAACACAGATAGTGAGAAAGAGAGAGCACGAGCGGGGAGGAGGGGGAGAAGCAGGCTCCCTGCTAAGCAGGGAGCCTGACATGGGGCTCGATCCCAGGACCCTGGGGTCACGACCCGAGTCGAAGGCAGACGCCTAACCAACTGAGCTACCCAGGAGCCCCAGAAATATTTCTTTATTTCTGCCTGCAGTATGCATATTTTTGTTTGTGTCCCTATACTAGCGTCTTTTAGGAAAAACTATTCTCTTCTTTTTCCAGAGCTGCTTTAGAATTCTATTTCCACATTAGGAATAAAGTAATTATAATACTCTTAATAGATTGCTCTTTCTTAGTATTTCTCAGATCTTTGTTTCCTAGCTCTAAAGCATCAGTCACATAATTCTCCTTGCTTATTAACGTTTCCACCTAGTTACCCTACCATTGCTTTCAATCTAGCCTACCTAAAACTGAATCTGCCACCTTACACAAAACAAAAAGATGCTTCTTTCTTTACCCACTTTTGACTTTGGAGCCTCCACGCATGTTCTTGAATCATTGCCAGTGTTCCTTCTATGCCATGTGTGTACGGTACCCTCCTTCAAGGATGCCATAGATTCCGTTGTGGCCCATGTGCTCAGTATAATAATATAATAATACTGAGATGCTAAAGGTAGGGAGCCTCATGAATTTTTTTTTTTTTTAATGAGTAACAGTGAAGTTCATCTTGTTAACTCTACCAATACAGTGATGGGCTTTAATACTAGTCACCAGCTTTGGCAAAACCAGTGAGAATAGAATGTCTGGATATAGGATGTCTCTCTATATAAGGGTTTTTGTTTTGTTTTTTAAGGATACATCTGAATTCTCTAGAGTATGTGATTTTTTTAAAAATATTTTTTTTATTTATTTGACAGAGACACAGCGAGAGAGGGAACACAAGCAGGGGGAGTGGGAGAGGGAGAAGCAGGCTTCCCGCGGAGCAGGGAACCCGATGCAGGGCTCGATCCCAGGACCCTGGGATCATGACCTGAGCTGAAGGCAGACGCTTAACGACTGAGCCACCCAAGCGCCCCTAGAGTATGTGATTTATGCAGGTTCTCAGCCTGTCTTTCCACAGTTTAACAAAAGAGTTGTCTCATGAGCTTTTGCACTGCCCAGAGTTTGGACATAGAGAAGTTTCACTGTAGTTATAGAATTCCTACAACTTATCTCCAGAGTGCTGGAAGTACAGTTTTGTATTAGTGGCTCCAGCTCCTTTTCCACAGCAGGTATTCTTGACACTAAGCCATTTTGATAGAGTGATTATTTAATAATTTTAAATCCTGAAAATTATACTTGAAAGGTAATTAAGGCAACTTAAAGCATGATTTGTATTTATCAAAACCTCACAGATCTTTTTTTTTTTTTTAAGATTTTATTTATTTGAGAGAGAGAGAGAGCACATGAGGGGGGAGGGTCAGAACCCGCTGAGCAGGGAGCCCAGTGTGGGACTCAATCCTGGGACTCCAGGATCATGACCCAAGCTGAAGGCAGTTGCTTAACCAACTCAGCCACCCAGGCGCCCAAAACCTCACAGATCTTTCTTGAGTTGTTCAGTTCTTCAGAATATCTAATGTCTTTCAAGCTGGGGTACTTCCGCACAGAAGATGAATGTGGGCACTATCCACCATCCCAATCCACAGGTCCAGTCTGGAATACCGGGAGTGCTCTTGGGTATAATTCATATTATATTTCACTCAGTCTCTGACTCACGAGCTCTGTCAGGGTTTTGGATGTGGTGGTTCTGGCTGTGCTGCAGTGCTGTGGTTGAAATCACAACCTGCTTCAATGTTCCGTTCTTTACGCTGTGAGCCGGGGCCTGAGGGCTACATTCGGATAGAGCAGCAGTTTTCAAAATGTGGTGTGCAGGACCCTAGGGGAGACTCTGAGGAGACTTTCAGGAGGTTTGGGAGGACTAACTGTTTTCATAATAATGCTAAGATTTATTTTCCTTTTTCATTGTAATGATCTTTACACTGATGGTTAAAAACAGAAGAGGGTGGGGGAGTGAAGCTGTTGGTGCCTTAGTATGAATCAAGTCAGTGGCATCAGACTATACTAGTAATGATTGTATTCTACACTGCCATTCACTTGCAGTTAAAAAAAAAAAAAAGTTTCATTTAAAATACCCCGATGAAGCGGTGAATATTACCAATTGTATCAAACCTTGGCCCTTGAGTACATGTTGTTTTCATATTCTGTGTTATAAAATTGGTATGTTTACTGAAAGCATTTCTGCTGTGTAGTAAAGTGTTCTTGAAGAAAAACACTTGTGTAATTGTTTGAGTGGTGAAATGAACTAGCTGGGTTTTTTTCCACAGGACATCAGTTTTCTATAAAGGATAGCCAATAGCCAAACTATGGCTATTCAAACTTGAGTGTTTGGAAAACATTTTCTTAAAAGCAAATGAAGTAAGCTTGTCACATCAAGGAAAACAATTGACAGTGTTTATTGTCTATGATAAAATTGAAGCTTTTAGAGAGTTTTTTAATTTTGGAAATCCTGTACCTGCCATTGTGAGCTTGATAGCTTTTCAGTATTTATAGTATTCTGATGAGATTGATGTTGATTTTAATGAATGAGGTTTTCTGATAAAGTATCATGAACTATGTCAGCATTTGGGAGATCTGCTTTTAATTCAGGGAACCAATATTTTCCAAATAACTACTGTGTGATGTTACAGAATCATGCATGGGATCCATTCAAAGTGCAGGACTGGTCAATGGATTTTAATATAACATACGGTTTCAGATTCCACATTGCAACTGATCTTTATGAAACAACCACATGTTGAGTTTGGGTGTAGTAACAAAGAATAATATCCATGTTTTTTGGAAAGAGCTATTGTAATAGTCTTCATTTGCCAATGATGTATCCGTGTGAGGTCCAGATTTCCTTCATGTTATCGACTAAAATATTGCAACAGATTCAGTGTACAAGTAGGTATGAGAATTTAGCTGATTTCAATTAAACCAGACATTAAAAGAATTTATAAAAAAGTAAAACATTGATACTCTGGTCACTAATTTTTTTGTTCTGGAAAATGTAATTATTTTTAATAAAATGCTATTTATGTTAGCATGTAGTGGAATTATTTTTAAGGTATAAAAAATTTTCAGTTTTAATTTCTAATATGGTAAATATTGATACATATAACCAGGTATGCTGGAGCTGGCTTGTGAGAGCCAATTGCCTGCATCTTTTTCCAACTTTGTGTTCAGTGTCTGTTGGTAACTTGAAATCTGCCATAGTTAGAGTGTCACATTACAGAAATCAGCAAACATTTCAAATCAAGATTCTCCTTTCCCCAACACTGATTGTTAAATCTTTACGGCATCCAACTGGATATAAATCACATAAACAAGAGCTCTTTGAGTCATCAGTAATTTTTAAGAGTGTAAAGGTGTCCTGAGAGACTAAAAAGTTTGAGAATTATTTGTGTGGCAGAAGGAGTACCTTTTGGTAATTGGTCCACAAAGAGGTGGATGCCTTTTTATTATTCACACAGATTTATCTTTTGTGCTGCTTTGTCATTTCTTTTTTTTTTTTTTTTTGAAGATTTTATTTATTTGAGACAGAGAGAATGAGATACAGAGAGCATGAGAGGGAGGAGGGTCAGAGGGAGAAGCAGACTCCCTGCCGAGCAGGGAGCCCGATGTGGGACTCAATCCCGGGACTCCACGATCATGACCTGAGCCAAAGGCAGTCACTTAACCAACTGAGCCACCCAGGCGCCCCTGCTTTGTCATTTCTAGAATAAATCTTTCCATTGTTTTTTGTTGTTGTTGTTTTTGGGGTTTTTTAAACTTCTGGTTGTTAAATGTATTTTACCATGGTGTAATCTTTTTCTTTCCCCTAAAATCTAAGGTAGACAATAATACTCCAGGGGCAGGTGGGCTGAACTTGCCCCTTGGGCTATATATGTTGGGTGTCTCTGCCCTTTTCTGTCTATTATGCAGGCCTAGCTCAAGCTGTGGCTTCTACACAAAGCCTGCACTTATTGTTCAGACTCATTCTGATCTTTCTGTTCTGTACTCCCATGACTTTCATGGCCTGTACAATGGAGCAATTCGTTCTATAATGCTTGATGCGCTATTGTTTCTTAGGTGTTAGTTTTATCAATTTTACTTTCTACCCTAGTGCACCTAGTACAATGCTCATCACACAGGTTCTCTTGTATGGATGAAAGATTTTTACTTTTGGATTACCAAAGAAGCTTGCTTTCTAAGGAAATGATCTTATAAGTAAATCTTATAATTATTTGTTATAAGCCCAGTTTTTAATAATTTTTTAAAGTATAAGTAGATTGGAAATCATTGGTGTTTCTTAAAGTGAGGCTGTATACAGAGGCTTCCTTCAAAGTTTGTTTTAGAGCTTGTGGTTCTACTACCATTCATGGTAGAAACTGGTAGCTTATTTCACTTATTTCATTTCCAAAGTCTTTGACTCTTGAGTAAGTCATAATGAATAGTGAGTGAAACAGTAAAATGAAGCAAGGTTTCTAAGATTACACTGGCCTGCCTATAGGATTGCGTTGTTGACTAATTAGCAAACTTGGCAGGTTTTGAATCCAGGGGGTCGAAGTACTGTGTTTTGCTGGTAGGGATCTCTGTTGAAAGCGCTCAGGGGTACTGGGAGATGGTTGTACTTTGTACGAGCTAAGGGATGGTTTTGGCCCTTTCTTGAGATGCTGGAGGTAGTGGGGAGGAAAGCTGTAAGAGGGACATCCCAGATCTAAAGCATGCATTTTCTCTGGATTAGACACATTAAGGGCATGAGAAGTCCTTGGAATTCCTCTGGCCTGTGCCTTTTTTGTGATTATGGGGGCATAAAAGTAACCGTGATTTTCATTAGTATAAAAGACAAGGCATTAGCTTGCATCTGGAGTAATACCAGAATATCCTGTTTCGAACGTTTCATTTATTAAAAAATAATTCACCATATTTAAGTTCTCTCTCCAATTTCTCTCAGGAAGTTGGAGAGGGTAGTTTATACTCTGGCCTAAATAAGGATTCACTGTTAATAGTCATGAGGTCGTAGTGAGGTAGTTTAACTGCTTTAGAACTTTGTGCTTGGAGCATTCTTAGCCATCGAAGCATGGGAACCGAAAGTGAGGAGCATGGGTTCTTTAATATCTATCACATCAGAGAATGACTGTTCCAGGACAGTAACCACCTCCTAATGGTAAGTAGCCCAGTGTGCGTGTCATTTCTTAGAAGCAGGAGAAAGAAAGGAAAAAATGGCCCGTCGTAATAGTGAATGGTATTTCTTTTACAAAACAAAACAGAAAATGAGCCAGTCTTAATCCTCAGTGGTGATCATTTTTGCAGGTTTCTGTAGCTGGATCAGGCACCGGAAGAGGCTCCCCCACTGTAACTCTAGTACAGTTACCTTCGGGCCAGACTGTACATGTCCAGGGAGTAATTCAGACACCACAGCCATCGGTTATTCAGTCACCACAGATACAGACTGTTCAGGTCAGCTGCCTTCCTGGGTGATTTGTTCTTGACTTTCTTCAGGGTTGGTTTTTTTTTTTTCCTTATATTAATTTATCATCTTTTCCTTTGCTTAGGTCTTTTTATTAGAAATTTGGAGGAATTTCCTTTTCCCATGTGAAGTGCATTGTGCCCTGCTAGATACATAGATTTGACTGGAGAGTTGCAGTTTTGTTGTTAGCTCTTAATTTACAGGATGAGTAATTGCCAGATGAGTAATTCTTTGAGTCGTTGCTCTGTGCTCAGACTCAGATTTATTTACCTAAGCTCTCCAGTGGTGCTTAAAAATATTTTGAGGATTCTTTGAAGATGTCTGATAAACACAGCATATAGAGATTACTGTTTTTATAAATACATTAGTAAGTAGTGGAAGTTTATTTTTAATTCAATATCTGTAACTTGTAGAAAACATAGGGTATTATTGTTACCTTGGTATTATGCTTCTACATCACCAGCCTCTCGCAGATAAAACCTTGGTTTTTGTAGACATGATTATTATGGTTGTGATCCAGAGATATGTTTTTAAATTTATTATTATCAGAGTTGATCACAAATCCTTAACATTTCTTGAAGCTAAAACATTTTTTTTGCATCAATAGATGTAAATTAAGTATGAATTTTTTAAAGTTTTTATTTTAATTCCAGTTAACACACAGTGTAATATTAGTTTCAGGTGTACAATATAGTGATTCAGCACTCCATACAGTACTTGGTGCTCATCACAGCAAGTGCACTCCTTCATCCCCATCACCTATGTCACCCATCTCCCCACCTACCTCCCCTCTGGTAACCATCAGTTGTTCTCATAGTTAAGAGTCTCTTTCTTGGTTTGTCTCTCTATTTTTTTTCCCCTTTGCTTGTTTTGTTTCATAAATTCTACATGAGTGAAATCATGTGGTATTTGTCTTTCTCTGACTGGCGTATTTAGCTTACCATTATTATACTCCCTAGCTCTATCCATGTAGTTGCAAATGGCAAGGTTTCATTCTTTTTATGATTGAGTAATATTCCATTGTCTGTATGGACCACATCTTTATCCATTCATCTCTTGATGGACACTTGGGCTGCTTCCACAATTTGGCTCTTGTAATAATGCTGCTATAAACATAAGGGTTCATGGATCCCTTTAACTAGTGTTTTTATATTCTTTGGGTAAATATCGAGTAGTGTGATTGCTGGATTGTAGGGTAATTCTATTTTCCAGTTTTTGAGGAGCCTCCACACTGTTTTCCAGAGTGACCACACTAGTTTGCATTCCCACCAACAGAGCACCAGGGTTCCTTTTTCTCCACATCCTCACAAACATTTATTGTTTTGTCTGTTGTTGATTTTAGCCATTCTGATAGGGGTAAGAATGCGTTTTTCAAAGCATACTTTTCTTGGTTATTGAATTTATTTCTGTTCCTTTTTTAGGTCAGTTATTATCCTTTACATGTTGAAATTATTTGAACATAGTTGATGACAAAAAGATTGGTGAGGAAAACACGGGTGTGCACATGTAATCAGTCTTGTCCCTTGTATATTTGGCTACCGTTTATTGCAGAATAAGGTTGCAACTTGATATTTGAAGTAATAAATCCACATGCATTGAAAGCTTAGTTAACTTTGCTGCACAGGTATCTTTTCCAAAGAGTAAGAATCATTCTTATCATTGTCTCTTTTTCCCATCATGACCCTTGATTCCAAGAGTTTCTCTTTCTGACCCTAATTATAGAACAAGAAAATCCTTCCATTCTCCTTTTTAATTATGACTTTTATTGGGGTGCAGATATTTCTGCTCTAGATGTTTCTGGCTGCTATTGGACGAAAGTATTATCTTATATTCAGTAGGCTTTTTTGGATTTTGTTAAGTAGGTGATTTAATTATCTTTGTAGACGTAAGTGCCAGTCGATCTTGTCTTAGAATTCCTGCTTGTTGAACAATGGTCGTCACTTAATCTGTCTGCGTGAACTTCAGCTTTCACCTTTCTGAAGTGGGTAAAATAGTATCCTACCTCACATAGGGGGTTTGTTATGAGTTTATGAGAGGTGTGTGAAAGCCCAGTGTAAAGTGATAAATGTTTGGTGCTGATATATGATTGTTGATTGCAACGTTTTTTCTAAGTTCTGTTCATTGGTGGCTGTGCTTATGTGTAGGGTGTCCATGACCAGAAGTGCATGGTCTTATGTTCCATTTTAAAATGCACTGCAATATCTAAACTGTGTGTAAGTGAACACTATGTACACCGTGTGCTTCAGGAAGTACATATTCCTGCTTGCATTGTTGACATTCAAACAAGTTTTTCTTTTTATTTTGCCCAAATCACATTCTCCTGTAATTGTAATATTAAGTGAGTTTTATAAACTCGGAACTACCCTAAGCCCTGAATGATAAGGGCATAGTATATTGAGAGCCATCATGTAGAGACTCATTATTTTAGTTTTCAGACTTTCCTTGAAATCCTGTGATTATTATGTGACTCGAAAAATGAAATCATGCTTAAAACTCTGATCTTTCTTTTAAGGAGAAATTCCTTATTTTGACCTTCAAGACTTAACCAGCATCAATCCCCACCCTACTTCTTGTCCTATAAATCCTAACTTTAATCAGGCTTGGTTACTTGCTTGCCTCTTTGAACCTATCTAATGTCTAGTTTGAAGACCCAGCTCAAGTCAGCTGAGGTATTGTGAAGAGGGTAGTGAGGTTGAGAGGCTTTTTTCTGCCTCTGTCACTAGCTCACTCAAGCCCCGCTGGATTTCTAAGAGTAGGTTTAGAGTAGGGATCTTAAGTCTTAGGTATCTTACATGTGGGTAGTCCTTTCCTGTGAAGCTTCACCTGCCATGCCAACCACTTTCATTTGCCTTTCTGTGGTATTTATTATCCGAACCATTCCTGCCACACATACCTGCTCTGCAGCTGAAGTGTGGGTGTCTTGGCCCCCTCTGCTAAGCCAGGGGTGAGCTGCAGTAGTGCAGGTGCAGTGTGTTCTGCTGCTGGGCACTTTCCCAGCACCCGGCTTCGTGCTGCACACCTAGACCCTTAAGCACCGTTTTTTGAATGAAGGAGATCATATATTTTATGATGCATTTCAGAAACTCTTGTATTGTAGGTAGCAACAATTGCAGAGACAGATGAGTCTGCAGAATCAGAAGGTGTAATTGATTCTCATAAACGTAGAGAAATCCTTTCACGAAGACCCTCTTATAGGTAAGTTATTTAAGTTTCCTACTATAATGATACCTTTTCCAAAAAGAGAGAATGATTATGTATCAAACCAGTTCTTCCATTATAGCTTTTCTGTCTTAAATCTCATTCATCTATCTTGATTATTTCTGTTGTCAAATTATGTTTTAGAAAAATACTGAATGAACTTTCCTCTGATGTGCCTGGTGTTCCCAAGATTGAAGAAGAAAAACCAGAGGAGGAAGGAACGCCACCTAACATCGCTACCATGGCAGTACCGACTAGCATATATCAGACTAGCACGGGGCAATACAGTATGTATGCTGCAATTCGCTATGATACAGTGCTAGCTTTAAGTCTTCTCTAGTTACACTGAAGCAACTTGGGTTTGGCATTCAATTGTTCCATTTTAAAATGCATCGCAATATCTAAACTGTGTGTATCATAGAATGAAAAGTACATGTTAAAGAAGTGAGAGATTTGTACTGACGGCTGTCACATACTTTTGAAAAGTAAAAATATTTTACTGAACATAGAAGAAAAATTTTGGGTAAAAATAAAGGGAGGCTTTGCCTATTTATATGTTTATATTCCTGTCTGGTAAAAATTTAAAACTTACTGTTTTTTGTTGTCTTTATAAGATGCATGCAAACATAAGATATAAATGTCTGTATTTCATTCTTGTTGGCTTTTGTTACCAACAATTACATATTATGCTTACTAATCTGAAAGAGGTACATAATGTTTCCTAAATTATGTTTTAAATGTAATTATGTTTTCACTACTCTTTGTTAATTTGTGCTGCAGCTTTTTCTAGAAGAGAATTGAAAAACGATTTATTTTTTAAAGCTACAGCAATTGGACAGATCATTTTATTTGAAATTTTAAACATCAAAAGCTGTAAATAAACAGATACGTTCACATTTAGTCTTGTGCATTTTAATGGGCTGTTAATCCTGTGCTTTTTACTCTAATTAAAGCACTGATTTTTTTTCTCAAATCAAGTACATTTGATATACATAAAAATGCTTTAGTAAAAAACAAGAGCTAGGAAGAAAAGCAAAAAGGGGGAAGAAAAGCCAGAAAAAGGACAAAAAAGATTAAAAAAAAAAACTACTTAGATAATGGAATATGTGTGGTATTAGATACTAAGTTGGTTTAAATATGATGGTAAGATTTTAGATATGTTTTCTGTTTTCCCTTATTTAAAAAATAGTAATACCTAGAAAAACTCTCAAGTCTTTAAGATGTGGCTGTTAAAGCAAAGGATACTCTTTAATGTATGGGAAGATCTTATATAGTTGTTAGTTTTTTAGAGTTTTTTATTTTGGTGGTGGTAGATTTGCAGTATTAAACGAATTCTCATTTGGCAATTCTGGCTCTTCAGGTAGCTCCTACCATGATACCTAGCAGAACTGGGGTATAATTTGTCCACAGCCTCTATGGGGTGCTGAGTGGGCATGTCCCAAAGTCAATGTTAGCAAAAGGAAACTCCCCACTGTCTCTGTAAAGAGTTAGATCTTGAGGTTTTGCTGTAATTTTTTTTTTTTTTTTTTTACTTCTCTGATTTCTATACCTTTCTGTCTGGCCCAGTGGGAATAGATGGTAGGAATTTTAGAGGTGTAAATCAGGGTTTGCCAGCTGGCAGGCCTCTGCACGGCAGCACGGAGGTAGAGGAGTCTGGGCTCCTTGTACTCCCTGGAGTGGCTGGGCAGGGCTTGGAGCTGCTGGAAACTCCTGGTTGTTCAGGTCTGGTCTTAAGCAGTGGGCTGTACACATACTATCATTTTCTATTTGTGGCATAATAGGGAAGAGGTTGGAAATTACTGATGAAATAATGCTAAGACACGTTAAAATTTGGGGGGTGACCTAAGATGCTTTCATCTTAAACATTTCTTTGGCATATCCCAACACTGCTTAGGAATTTATAGAAGCGGTGATCTCTGTACAAGTGATATGGAAGGGGATGCTGTAGGTTATTTGCCTAGATTATTAGTTGAAATTTTGAAATTGTGAAAACACTGGGTTGAGAGAACGTTGAAGCTAGAGGTGATGTGGGGAAGGCTCCGGGTCCTGCCATTCACTAACTGGATCAGATAGAGAAGCTCTATTTTCCCATCTCAGGGTCTTTGAAGTGGGAATAATACTAAAATTGCCAAACTCTGGGGTTAGTGTGAGGACAAAAGGAAATAATAGGGAAAAGTGGTAGAAAACAGACATGCTACTTTTGACACAAAACAGAAATGTAAGGCAGTGTCTCATATGTGAACTTTCCCTCCAGGTAGCAGCAAAGCCTATATTTCTTGTGCTCTGAGTACATGCACTTGCAGCAGGGGCCTGGCAGGAGACTGACATCACTGTGGGTGCAGGGTGGTGGGAGTAGAGTCAGGAGTTACGGTTGAGAACAGCAAATCGAAAGTTTAGAAGTTAGATGCTTATCTGTTTGCCACATTAGAGGTCATGGACTGTCTCTTATTGAGGTTTCTTAATTTAGACCCATACAATATGATCCTGGCAGGTATTAAAAGTTGTGATTATTCTGTATGTGCTCTCTGCAGGTAGAAATTGCCATTTTTATTGCTTCATGAAAAGTGATAACTACCTTTGCTAAAAATGCATCTCTTAGACGTTTAGTGACGCTTATGTTGATAATTCTTTCTTCTGAGAGGTGAATACTAACATTAAAAGTGTTTAAAAGACATTTGCTTTGATTGGAGGGTAAATGTATATTTACACATACACAAGATCCATTTTCATTAATCAGATTTCATAGTAGGAATCTTAACAGATATTAATGCTTTAATGTTGTTCCTGGATATCTAAAAAATGAAATAATTACTGGTGTCCTTTGGTTTTTAGACTTTTATCTTACTAGAATTTCTGGAGATTATTCTGGGTTATTTGCATGTATCTGTTTTTGAGACCCTCTCATAACCTTTTACTGTAAAATGTGTTTTTGTAGGTTTAATTCTTTCTTCAACTTTGATTTATGGGTGACTTTGCCCTAGGCTTTGCTTTTTTTTTTTTTTCCAAAGATTATTATTTTAGATTACTTATTTTTAATTTAGTATAGTGAGGTAGTTGGAGTTAAAAACAAAAGAACTAAAGGACTGTGTGTGTCAAGGTTGAAGAAATAAAATGAGCGTACTCAGGCTTTCTCATATACAATCAGTTATATTTTTAATAGTCAAAAGTTAGATATTTGACAGAATTTGGCCTTATTTTTTCAACTTATTTTTTTAATCACAGAAACTAAGAAGTGAAAGTTAGAATAGTCTACTCCCTGGGAGTAGTAAAAATAACTCTAAACAGACAGGGATTCATTATTGCAACACCAAGAAAGTCAGCTATACTTGCAAAATCTTTACTGGAAGTACAGATCTTAGTGATAGGTTTGCTGTAAGCCAATTAAGTCATTCTGGCCAAAGAAAATTTGTTTTGTCTCAAGAGAATATTTCTGAAAGATAGCAGTTCAGATAATCTCAGAATTAGCAAAAATGTTACTTGTTGCATAAGACATTTAAGATCTGCATTAAGGGGTGCCTGGGTGGCTCAGTTGGTTAAGTGACTGCCTTCGGCTCAGATCATGATCCTGGAGTCCCGGGATCGAGTCCCACATCGGGCTCCCTGCTGAGCAGGGAGTCTGCTTCTCCCTCTGACCCTCCCCCCTCTCATGTGCTCTCTCTCATTCTCTCTCTCTCAAATAAATAAAAAAATCTTTAAAAAAAAAAAAGATCTGCATTAAATGGGGATGAATTTCATAAACATAGTAAAAGTAACTAAAGAAATTTAAATGTTTGCAGTTTCCTAATTCATTAAGTTTTCTCTAAAGACAAAGTCTTTTTTTTTTTTTTTGTCCATCACTCTGCTATATCTGACCTCTTCCCTCCCAATTAAGGACTATCACCCAAGATTATTTATTTTCTAAATGTCCCTTGTCTCTTTGCTTGTCCCTACTTTATTTTACTAGGAACCTTGTTAGAATGAGTCTCTGTTAACCCATCTTTATTGGAATTCTTATACACTAAAGGTAAGTGGGTCAATCCAAAATCCACCATTATAAAAAGAGATCTATGTGAACTTTGTGGGCTACTTAAAGAATTCAGAATTCTCAGGAGACTCCTATGAATAAACACCATAAAAGGAATTTGCATGATAGGTGTACACATTCTAAAGTAAATGCAGTTGCCTTTATAACTCTTAGTAGTGACTTTGCTTACATTCTCCCAAGGTAACTTTCAAAGCAAACATAGAAGGTATCTGCTTAATGTAAATCTGGCTTTTTAATCTTGGTGTTGCTATTCTTGTTATAGCACGAGGTTATTTTAGTCTCTCTTCAGCTGTATGAACCTCTTGGTTTTTAAGGCACAGGTACTCACAGGTTCTGTTCCGCGCTCACTTTTTTAAATTTAAATTTGAGAATTCACTGGCATAAGGTCTGCTATTCTTTATAAAGTTAATTCAGTGAAGTTTTATTTATGAATTTTTTTTGTAATTTGGAATAAAGATGGTTTTAAATTATAATTAAACATTTATATGTTTATGTGCTTGAATTAGCTCATATATACAGGGTTAGGATTACAAAGATGTTAGTATCAAACGAAAAGTCAGATGATATCTTAATTTAAATAAATTCTACTCCTTCCCCATTTGGTCATGAACTCTTTTCTTTGTTTTTTTTTTTTTTTTTTTTTAGTTTTCCACCCTTATCTTTCTCTTCTTCTTTCTTTATTGATCATACAAAACTTTAAAATACTGCTTTTTTAATTAAAACAAATTTTTTTGCCAAAATTCTCGAATTTTCATCCCACACATAATATTTTCTTATTTCTATGATATTAATAGCTCTGGGAGAGGAGTGCTCAATGGCAATGAGTAGAAGTAACAGATTTTTTAAATACAGTTTTGTGAACTAGGAATTTTTAAAGAATTTATTGCCTACACTAGTTGATATGTCATCCTAGTTACTGTGGTGTATGGTAAGTTGGGGATGGAGAAACCATACTTGGGTTAATATTGATTCGGAAGTAAATACCATGACTATATAAGGATGTATATAGAGACATTTGTGTAACCACTGAAACCAACTTAGTAGAAAAATACTTAGTAAATTAATGATTTACACTCTATCTAGACAAACTCTTAATGTAAGGTCAGTATGTCCAACATTCAACTTGTGGGTATAGAGTGACCTACTTAGTTATGGGGAATAGCTTCTGAGACTTGAGGGGGAAAAAAAAAGCTAACTCCCAGAACAACTAGGACAACAGAGCCTAACCTCTACCCACCATTATTATGAGCAGTAACATACTAGCAGGCTTGAATCTATTAATAATGGGTGTTGAAGTAGAATTTAATTGATTATATAATCTAGCTGTTCAATTTTAATTCAATTTAGATTATTTTATCAAACTAATGTTATTAAGGATTACTTAAAAGAGGAAAATCAGTATGTATATAATCTAAAATAAAAACACTTTTACTTGTGTTTGAGTCCCGATCAGTCTTCATAGACCAGTGTGGACTCTTCATGGTGATCAGCAGTGAGGCCATAGGTATAAGCTTTTATGCCTCAGTTGCATGTGTCAGTCTAAGAAATCATTAATAAAGCCTAGGTCCCCAAAGTAAAATTGGTAGGAAATACAAAGGTATTTTATCTTCATTGGCTACTAATGGCCTTCATATGGGCCAATCATTTTATTTAAAAATGATTAGCCAGATATGATATCTGGGATTTGTTTTTTAAATACTCCAGACCAAAAAAAAAAAAAATAAAGGCTGGGGATGTGTGGGCAAGGAAAAAGGTGACACAAAATTCTTTCTACTTTTATGTTTGCTAGCAAATTTCCATAAGTTTAAAAAAATAAGTAAAAAGTTACGTAAACAAAAGTTAAGTAAAACAAAAATTAAGTGACTAAATTCATTCAGTTAATTTCATCTTAATTTTTCCCACTATTTAATTTATCTTGATATGTGTTTACTGAAAACACATATTTTGCTATCCTTTAATATTTTGTAACCTGAAAAGTTTCCTCTTCAAATCTTGAATACACACACACACAAACACACACAAGACCTAATTCTAGTATCCTGAAGCATTGGGAAATCTTGTTTATTGTCAAATGAGAGGTAATATTTTGAATGGGAAGGTCCTCTGTCATTTGATAATGCCAAAATCAAAAGTGCCTTTGGTATAAAAAATAAAAGCGAGGTTAAAGTACAAGACTTATCAGTAGAAATGTTTTCCCCTAGAGCTAGCTTGTGTGTGTGTGTGTGTGTGTGTGTTTAGCTTTTGTTTTCCACTAATTATATAATGACTTGACCAGAAAATAAAATGATGAGAGGAACAGATTCTTTATATATCAGCTTTTCACAGTGTGTGTGAAAGCAAAGAAGTTTGGTTGGAACTATGAGGAAACATTATTGAAAAAAATAAAGGGTGGAAAAAAAGAAATACGAAAAGAAAAAAAAGTAAGGGTCTTTGTTATCTACCTATTTCATGTTCTTACCCTAGGCAGCAACTACTCTCACATTAGATTTTTTACCAGTCCCAAAGCTTGTTAATTGTATTGGCATTGAAAATTAAGTTCTCTAATTAGAATTTGAAGCTGTATTTTATTTAACTCTTCTAGATTCACAAGTGGCTTAAGTTGTTTATGATGTAGTCTGTCTTGAGGAAATGATAGCCATTCATTCATCATTTATTGAGTGCCTACTACATGCTAGGCTTTGTGCTTCTTCCATATTGTGGTTACACTGCCTGTGTCTGCTTCGAAAGCACTATTTCTATAACACCAAACTAATTATCAACTGAAAACACATTCAGATAAATGATAACATATGAAATACATTCATGTCCAGTCATGAAGATCTGAGGAAGCAATATCTCTTCTCTTTCATACTCCTCTTTTAAGAAAGTAGACATAGTTAGGTTTCTTCCCAAACCCTTTTGTTATAAAGGGTGAATCCTGAGAACCCTTGAAATCTTGTTTTTTAAAATGTGTACAGAATGTGATGCTCTACGTGAGCCAGATAAAGCAAGTGATATTACATAAATTTTTCAACCTCAGCATCCTTGATATTCTGTAACTGATTCTTAAGTTTCTGTCAATTCTATCCTAATGGTGGCCTGTCAAAGAACAAAAACACAGAATGCATCTTGCAGAAATCTTTTTCAAAATGCTTAACCCATCTTTCTGTGTTAGGCCTCAGGTCAAGGAACTAAAGATTTATTGTTACTCTCTCTGAGTAGTTCGGACAGGTTTATACAATCAGGTGTTCCACCTAAATGGACCTTTACTTCAATACTGTTGAAAACGTTAGGGAATATGTTGGAAATACTCAGCATACATTTTGACACACTATGTAACACTCCTGTAAGGCATTTACGTTGATTTATATGTGTTGTGTTATTCTGATGTGTTGTTATCTTCATTGTAAATCTAATGAGCTAGTTTATATGTGATTTTTTTTTTTGAAAGCATAGCCTTTGGTTCCACTTAAACCATAGAGTCATAATATTTATGTTAAAATGTACAGAACTCTCAGATATTTTAAACTGCTTATTTGTCTATTAGAGTGAAATTTAAAAACAAAACATTTGATCAGTTGTTTTTTGGAAACTTTTAGTTAATATGTTAACTTTTAAACATGACTGGCAAGTCTCAGTGTTTAGAGGAAGTTCGCCTTCTATTTGTTGCCATGAGCTGATTCAAGACACTTGGTAGAGGTAAATATTGTAGCACAAATTCTTTCAATAGTTATATTTTAAGATCCTTTGTAACTTAACGTATATTTCAGGATTCTCCTGACATAGTCAAAATGGTAAAGGTTACAGTTTTGTAGACTTAGGCTTTAAAACCAAAATGTATAGTAATATATATTCCATTAAGAGCTACTTTCTTTTGATGATAAATTAGAGTAGTTAGCTGAATGAAGGTATAAATTCATGGTAATTGTGG